CAGAGAAAGATCTGGAGGCTGGATTTGTCAAGAATCCAGGGTAAGCTCCTCTTCCTCAGCCCTGTATCCAAGACTGTATCTTGGGAAAGCAGGTTTATTGAGATTTAATTCATATACCATTTAATGCAACCATTCAGAGTATATACTTCTTTCTAGTATATTTACAGAGTTATGCAACTATCTCCACAATCTAACTTTTTTAATCTTTTAAAGGCAAATAAGGGAAATATTTATTCCCAAATACCATACACATGTGGAGAATCACAAGCCTGACCACCACCACCCTTTTTTGAGACAGAGTCTCACTCTGTTGTTGCCCCAGGCTAGAGTGCTACGAAATCAGCCTGACTCACCTAACCACAACTCCTGGGCACAGATGATCCTCCTTCCTGGGACTACCACTAAGTGGACAGGTGCTCACCACCAAGCCTGGCTAATTTTTCTATTTTTAGTAAAGGGGGGCTCTCACTCTTGCTCATTCTGGTTCAGAGCTCCGGAGCTTAGGGATGCTTCTACCTCGGCCTCCCAGAGTGCTAGGATTATAGGTGTGAGCCACTGCACCCAGCCTCCACATTCTAATTTTAGAATTTTTCTTTTTTTTTTTTAATTTTTGAGACAGAGTCTCAAGCTGTTGCCCTGGGTAGGGTGCTGTGACATCACAGCTCACGGCAACCTCAAACTCTTGAACTTAAGCGATTCTTTTGCCTCAGCCTCCCAAGTAGCTGGGACTACAGGTGCCTGCCTTACCACCCAGCTATTTTGGGGGGGGGCCGCGATGGAACCCATCAGCTTCGGTATATGTGGTTGGCGCCTTACCCATTGAACTACAGGCACTGCTTTAATTTTAGAATATTTTCATTACCCCAAAGAGAAGCCTTGTCCACATCAGCAGTCACTCCCTAGCCCCTCCCCCTCCCCCCAGCCCCTGACAACCATAAATCCACTACATGTCTCTGGATTTGCCTGTTCATATAAATGGAATCACAGAGTATGTGGCCTTTTGAATCTGGCTTCTTTAACTGAGTATGATGTTCTCAAAGTTCACTCACATTGTATCCTGAATCAGCATTTGATTCCTTTTTTCTTTTTTTTTTTTTTT